TTAAAAAAATCCCTGAACCTGTTTTATTTAAACATAAATTCACTCTCAGCTCATTTAGTTTAATTGTTGTTAAACTCGTCTCAGAAATAATCTGAGACGTCACAAAGCGGGACGATATCTGGACGAACTGCGACGCCGCCGTCTGTTTGCACAGCATTCATTCCTTCCTGAAATAATTTAATTCAGCAGGTTTTAGATTCAGCAGAACCTCTGATTTCACCCCCACGACCTCCTCATCACGTCTCTTCATCGTCCCCTCTGGTCCGAGGTCAGCCTGGAAGACTTCATCGCTGCTTAATCTGTCACTTACAGTGTGTGTGTGTGTGTGTGTGTGTGTTGGTGTGTGTTTGAGTGTGTTTTGTGTAAAGAGCCAAGTTCCTCTCTAAGCCCCAAAGCCATCAGCAGTGAGATCATAGAGAGCTTTTCCTCTTTAGACCCCCCGTGGAGGCCGAGGACGCACATCACAGAGTGTGTGTTCGTTCAGCGCTGCACCAGCGTTTCTGTTGATTCTTGCATTTTAAGAAAAAAAAAGAAAAGAAAAGCCAACCGGTGGAACAACAGCAGCGAAACAAAGGCTTCAGATGTTTTCTTCACTTCTCTCGTCTCTCCTCTGACACTTATTGTACATTTGATAAAAAATCTTGCATCCTGATAAATCGCTCGTCTTTGTTTTCTCTCTTTTTCAGACAATGCGGCTACAGCAAGGCGTCCCAGGAGGGCGACGAGGAGCTCTACTTCCAGTGTAAGTCGCACGCCACGAGCTGCGTGTGAATGAACGCATCGCAGATGACTTCTGAGGCATTAGGCAGCGCCGCCGCATTAATTCTTAATTCTGAGAGCAGCGCTGACACACCGCATTAGGAGGTGGAGGGGGGAGATGGAGATCAGGAGGAGGAGGAGATAAAGAGGAAGGAGGCTGGGAGCTGCAGAACATGACGCTAAACGTTCCTGTACGAGGTTGTTAGTTCTTCTCTAGTTGGTTTCCAGCACATGCAGGTCCAGTTTGTTGTTCAACGAGTTGGTATTTGGGTTTAAGGCAACGCTCCAGTCGATTACATCCTTCTTGATACTTAAAGTGCAGCTCAGAAACGTGGCATGTGTACATTTTAGGCTGCTTTGAACGTCTGGGGAGTGAAATGAGCTCCCAGTGGATAAAACTTGTTTATATGTAAGAAGCCAACCAGATGCAGAAGGACTTTTGGGTGTCTACATCTGAAGTATGTACTGGGGCGTACTATTAGAAGATACCCGAAGAGCCTGAGACGAGGAAAGATGAAGGAAAAAAGAGGCTAAAAGCTGCAGAACGTGACGTCAAACGTTCCTGTATGAGGTTGTTAATTCTTCTCTAGTTGGTTTTCAGCACATCCAGGTCCAATTTGTTGTTCAACTAGTTGTTGTTTGTGTCCCTGTTCGTGTTTCAAATCACAAACTTCTTTCGTTTTACTTGAAGTACAGCTTCCTTATCCTTAGTATGAGTTTAGACAGAATACTTCACCATAACACTGCTATTTAAACTTAGATCGTTGCTGTCCGTAGTGTGGAATACGTTCTCAGGGGATAAAACTTGTTTTTACGTGAAACAGTCCAACCAGATGAAGTCGGACATTCAGGTGTTTGCAGCAAACTGACGTCTTTTTCAGTGCAATAAAAAGAAACTGGACTTTTTTTAAAAACTCTTTCACGTTCTTAAAAATGTTTCCCCGTCGTTCAAGAACCTGAAGGAGCCTCTTGGATGATGCTTAACATGTCTTTAATAAGAACCTAAAAGGGAAGTCCGGTTGTGTTTGATGAAAGCCGCTAGAAAGCTTTCAGCAGGTTTTTTGGTTTGACGGCGACAGAATAGAACGAGTTTGTCTCCTTGTTTGTGTTTAACGTGATGAACAACACTGCATTTGTCCTTGTGCTGTTCCACGTTGTACGTATACTGAATATCGACGTAATGTTTAATCTTAAATTCGTCTTTCTGCAAACTTATTTACACACTTGTGCAAGACTCTGCTTTCTGCCAAGTCAGACCAGATGTAGGAGAACATCCTGGTGTTTTTAGGATTTGACACATGTTGAGAATACTCCATGTTTTTCTGGCGTACTGCTGGTGCAGTAGTCTGGATGCTGGACGCACCCGAAGAGCCCGAGACAAGAACCAGACAGCAGCAGAACAAACATGACGTCAAGAGTTGTTGGAGATTCTTCCTTTTTTTAACCTCTAGTCACAGAACTTTCGATGGATTTCCGTCTGCTTGTTTCATGCAGAAACTAAGCTTGTTATAATATTGCACCTTAAATTTTCAGCATCTCTTGTGCAAAATGAGCTTTCATCTGAACTTATGCTCTCGTGAGGCCCCGTGACGTAACTCTCAGGATCGGAGCAGATGCAGTCGGAGATCTCTGCGTTTCTGGCTGTTTGACGTTGACGATGTGTCGGGCTGAATCTCTGGCAAAGCTTTCATTAGGCTCTTTGTTAAAAAGCGACAGAATGGAACCAGTTTGACATAGTGTCTCCTTGTTTGTGTCCACGGCCGCGCTCCAGATCCCGTTTTTCTTTTCCTCTTCTTCCAGGCTGCGCTGTGGAGTTTCGAGCATCTCTAGCGCAAAGCGAGCCGTCATCTGTCTGCGGCTCAAACTTAATTATGCAGGAGACCGAGCACGTTGGCTGCAAAATCGGACCGAGCGCAGTCGAACATCCTGGTGTTTCTGGTTGACATAGTGGGACGCGTTAAATCTGTTCTGGTGTGGATGTTGGAGGTGACCCAGAGAGGCTGAGATGAGGGGAAAAGACGAAAACTAAATGTGCTGCAAGGTTGTAAATTCTGCTTTTTTTTTTTTTTTGTCTGCCAGAGCGGAGCTAGTTTGACATACGTCGGCCTGTTTGTGTGCTAATGCGATGTGTGGGTTTCCTTCGCGTACGGCGGCTCCGTGCGTGCACGCTCGTGCGCGCTCGTTTGCTCGCTGTTTAATCTCCCAGCATGCCGAGCCCTCTGGAGAGGTTTGGAGCACTACGCCGGATGAATAATGAGCCGAAGCCACGCGGCTGGGAATTAGATCTGCAAGAAAACAAAGACACGCCAACAGCTGACGAGCACGCAGCGCACACATTTCCCTAAAAGACACCTTCCATCGTATTAACAGGCTCGTGGTTGGTCCGAGAGCAGGAAGGCTGCAGAGCGCTGGGAGTCCTGTTTCTGGTTTTATTTTTTGTCCTCACATCTGTTGGCCTGCCAGTCTCCTTAAAACCCATCCTGCAACCGCACATTAGCGCGGAAGAGAGTCGGTGAATGGACGAGTGTGTGAGCGATAAAGCAGAGGAGGAAGAAGAGGGCGGGAACACGAGGGCCGGAGAGGTGAACCGGCAGAGGCTCATCATGGGCGACGCTGCTCAGAACATTAGTTTTATGTCGTGACCTAGAAACGTTCGGAGGGGGAGGGAGGAGAGCTCAGGGCTCATCCGCAATCTGCATTAATAGACCGGTTTTAGATACCATCCGATTGCGTGCAACAGAGGAACACGCTAAGGCCCGATAAGGAAGCATTAGTTCGCTCATCTGCGGTCCGGTGAGCGTGTTTGCCCTAAACAGCAGCGACACGGTTAACCCTGAAACCAATCAGCCACGGAGCCGCCGACTCATCGGAGCGTGCTGACAGCTTCAGCTTCTGTTGTTCATCTGACGTGACGTGTGTCTGTTTGTGTTTAAAAAAAACTAAACAGGTCCTTTACAAAAATGTACACAAATGTAAATAAAAAGTGCTGGAGCGTCCAAACACCAGCTTTCTTTTATTTTTTAGCCCAATCTGGATTCAAACTCCTGCAGAACACCAAAGAAGTCCACTTTCTGGTGAAGGAAAAGCTTCTCAGCTGCAACTTTAGTACTTTCAGTAGTCTGAGTTGGTGAGCAGGAGAACATACGTCATTCATAAATGGAGACAGATGAAACCAGAAATTAAAACCAGAAATGTGACTTAAACTGCAGGATTAGACACAAACGGCACACAAAAGCCAAAAGCTTTGTGACCAGAGGGTTAAAAAAATAAAATAAAATTCACAACCGTTTTGAAGCATTTAGCGTTTTTGTCCTTTTCTCGTTCTTCCTCCCTCATCTGGAGCTCTTTAGGTCTCTCGTATGTCGTAATATGTCAACTGTAAAAAGAAGATTTTCCACCACATCTGCTCTGATTTTGCAGTTTGCAGCCAGAATGCACACCAACGACATAAACAGCTTTGAGCTGCACACAGACAGACGATGCTCAACAATTCAGATGCGATGCTGTGATTCAGGACGGAGTATTTGGCAGCTGTGTGAGCTTTCACTTTGCTAAAAACTGTACGAGCCCAGAATCGACTTTATTTACGGCTGGTTCTGAGCAGCGGGGGCGCGTTTGGAAAGTCGATCCTCCGTTCAGCGCAGGCCTGAAATAGAAAAGGTTTCATTTGCTTCATAATTGCACTTTTGCCTTTTCTTTGTCGACGTGCGTGTGTGTGTGTGTGTGTGTGTGTGTGTGTGTGTGTGTGTGCGTGTGTGCGTGTGTGCGTGTGCGTGTGTGTGTGTGCGTGTGTGTGCGTCGGATCAATAATCCGTTATGAGGCGGCCGGTTCAGGATCCTTCAGGTCGATCTGCAGCTGTAATCACATTTCAGAGCCGCTGTTCCTTGGTTTGTTTTTTCTTTCTCCAGGACCAGCAGGCCTCTTCCAGGAAGATTAGCTTTAACGCGTGGTAACGAGGGTCAGGGGTCGGCTAATTGGAACCCGCAGCCCATTGGTTAAGGGTTATCGGCTATCCGCCGGCTGCTTTATTCTCCAGTTGTTAGTGTTCAGTAAATAGAAGCGGCAGTTGATAAAGAAAACAAGAGGCTCGTTGAGAAAGCAGCGTTTTTTTTTTTGTTTTGTTCTGCCGCCGTACAGTCAAACAGTCAGGGGTCAATATCACTTTCATTTCTAAATGTCAGCTGGAGTTTCCAATTGTTGCGTCTCATTAGTGTCACAGCGGTGATTTTTATAGACGTCCTTTAGAAGGAACAAGTCGAGCTAATCGTTAATGGAAACCTTTTTTTTCCTTTTACTGTGTGGCTTTTGTAGGCCAAAGGAAATGTTCTCGTCTGTTTTACATTTAAACTCCGGCTTTTTGTTGTCGCTGACATTAAACCTTGTTATTGTGTGTCAACACAACAGTGGAGCCCAGATGGATCTTTTTAACCATTTATCTGACATCTCGTTGTGGTTTTAAGCCACGTGATCGGCTTCTTTTTAGATATTTTTATGAGAATTTCTTCAAATCGTCCACTCAGGATGAACTGATGACAGCTTTGATGGGCGGTTATTTGGCCTCGGCTTTAGAATTTACAGGCTGATAAAGAGGAAGTTTCACACCAACATCTAATAAGAAAAGACAATGAAGTGATAACATTCAACATCTAAACCATCACAGTTCAGCGTCACTGTTTTCGAGCCAGTACTCAACATCCAAACTCAGGAAAAGAACAAGATTGTGACCATGATTCCCATTTGGTTGGACACTGAATTGTGAACCAGTGGTGTTGGTTTAGATCTTCTGTGTGTGAAACATCCACGTTTTAGAATTTATACTTTCTCTGCAGCAAATATTTGAAGCTACTGTCATCACTACGAATTTATGTTTAATCAAAGTCAACTTTATTGGCCAGATGTTAGCTTTAGTGGTTGATCAAGGCTTTTTTTTTTTTACTGATTTGAATCTGCATTGAACCTAAACCTGATGATTTGTTCTTTCCGTCCGCCGTCGTAGCAGGACTACGCAGGTTCTTGAATCGTTTTCTTGATAAATTCATTGTCAACAGACGACATTTGTCCTGTGCGGCTCAACAACAACTTGTCCCAGTTTGTCCTTAAAACATGAGCTGTGG